CTGCATCATTCTGGCATTTCCTTACTCTGAACTTAGGCTTTTTTCGTTGACCAAACAGCGCACTGATCTCTCCCTTGGGAGCAAGGAGAGGGAGCCGGGGGGCTTGATCGTGCCAGGTGGCTTGAACAGAGCCCGTGGGCCAAATGGCCGAGGCCTGTGCCTACCAGGTGAGTACAAGGCCAACCTGGAAGGCCTGGGTTGGCTGCCACTGAGGGCCGTGTCGTGTGCTGCCAGCGTGCCTCCAATGCAGTTCTGTGCAGGGTCCCTTTCCGCCGCAGTGGGAGGTGGTGTTTTAGTCCTCACAACATGGTCCGAGTTCCTACTAAGCTTGCCCTGCTTAGCTTCTAAGGTCAAGGGTAATACTAACTATGCAGGAAGACCCAAGTGCTGAATTTTTCCCATTTTTGCCGTCCCCGAGGTGTCAGAGGCCGGTCTGTGCCCAACTACCCCCTTAGGTTGGTGTAGGGGGACAGCCCTACAGGTCCTGTGGGTTTTTCTTCATCGGTGTGGAGAGAGAGATCATGACAAAAAAGCACACAAGACAGAAGAATAGAAGAAAAAGACAGCTGGGCCTGGGGGACCACTTACCACCTAGACGTGGAGACCGTTAATGGCCGGAATGCCCCTGGCTGCGGGCCTGTTATTATTGGATACAAGACACACGGCGGGCAGGGTAAGGAGTGTGACCGTCTCCAATGATTGATAACGTCACCGTGAGATCACGTGGTCCACCGTACAGGGGGCCCTTCCCTGCTCTTTGGCGACGATGGCGGAGAGAGAGATGATGAAGGACCAGCTTACACTATTATTTCTTCTGGTGCAATTTAAAGACTCTAGGATACATTCACTAAATTATACTACTACTATCTAGACGAGCAGAGCCAGGTGTACAGGGCGGAAACATGCAAAGTGGACCAGTGACCACTGGACCCGCTGAGCACAGCATCAACAGGGAGACGTTGAAGGCCTCCAGAGGGCTGCGTGCGGGCGGGCCTGAGGGATGTCAGGTCTTCCACAAGAGGTGGTGGGGCAGAGTCTTCTCTAACTTCCCGGGGAAAGGGAGACTCCCTTTCCCGTTAAGTAACGGGTGCCTGCCCAGGCCCTGGCATTACCGCTAGACCAAGGAGCCCTCTAGTGGCCATGTCCGGGCATGACAGGGGCTCACACTCTTGCCTTCTGGTCACTTCTCACCATGTCCCTTCAGCTCCTATCTCTGTATGGCCTGGTTTTTCCTAGGTTATGATTGTGGAACAGAGATTATTGTATTAGAATAAAGAGTAATGCTACAAACTGATGATTAATAATATTCATAAATCATCATATCTATAATCTATTTCTAGTATAACTATTCTTACTTTATATATTTTCTTTGTTATACTGGAACAGCTTGTGCCCTTGATCTCTTGCCTTGGCACCTGGGAGACTTGCCGCCCACATCTCCCTTCTTTTTATTAACTAGGATCGCCATCGCCATCATTGCTTGTCGTTGACTTTGAACTTGTCTTTGGACTCATTGGAGGCATCTGCAGACTAAAAATAGACAACAGAAGCATACCAGTGTCAATAATGCCAGTGACAACAGTGACCCTCCAAGGGGTGTGATCCATTTAAAGGGATTAAGCTTAGGTAATCCTTTAGTTATTCCTTCAAAAATGTCTAAGCCAGGAGCAGTGGTTAAATGAGCCTGTGAGACCTCAAAAATTTGTTCTTTAAGTTTTGAAATATCTAAGGTTAAGTTATCATCCCAGGCTTTTAAATGCCTTAAGACCTTTTCCCAGCTATGTTGATCTTTATTATAAGCATAAGGCGTTATGCAGCCATCAGAATTATTCCAGTCACACTGTAATTGCATACGGTGTTCCAAATTCATAACTCTATCTCCCAGCCAGATTACACTCTGGCGGAGATCATTAATTTGATTAGCTAATTTTTGATCGACTTGAGTCTGAGAATTCCAAAGCCTGGAGGAGTTTTTCTGCCATGCTTCAACATATTGAGCGGTTTGAACAGAATTGTGGATTGCAACTCTAGCGGTTGCCGCTGTTGCAGTAACCGCAATTAGACCTGCAATGACTGCAATAAGAGTAAAAATGAATCTCTTAGTTCTTTTGAGGATACCTTTAAGATCTTCATTGACTGTGTGAATAGAGGGGGAAGACTCCCGTGAACGATGTAAAGAAACTGGTATGCCTACCCCCTCCCTAGCCCTCACCGAGAGAATACTTGTTGTGGGATTAAAAGTAGCATCAATGGACGTGAACAGCTTACAGTTATCACATTCTATAGTGTGTGTATTGGGAATGATAATTACATTCCAACCAACAGCATATAAGGGGATTTGACACAGCTCTTGATAGGCATCACCTGTTCAGACATCAAGGTGATGTTGAATATGGGTGTCTTGGTATTAGTAGGAGAGAGTTGATAAGTAGCATTCCATATCCTTATTCCTATCATGGCTGCAGCTAATTTCCATAATTCAGGATGTTCTGGGGTAACAATTGGATGAATCATTTTTGGTCTAGGAGGAACGATGCCTGTGTCCATCCATTTAAATGGTTAAGGAGACACCCGTTCCCTCAACCTGTATGACTGCCATTCGTCCTCTACATAATCTAACAAACTCCGAGCATGTCATATTTTGGCCGGAGCAATTCCGCCAAGAATGCCCTCTTGGAGCCCAGTCAATAGCAACACCCGTGGCTAGACTTTGGAACACTATGACCTTTGGAGCATTACAATCATTCCATACAATTGAATTTACTAAAAACAGCCCCTTTGTAGGTTCCTTGGAGCAATCTGGCAGCCCTTTTGTGGAATTATCTTTTGTGGTAACAGGAACCCTCCATTCCTCATGTGGATTAAGTTGAACAGTCATAAATTGAAAATAATTGGTACTGAGCATATTATGTACTTAATAAGAATCATTACTAAAGCACAATATGGTCCACATCCAGTTCTGATAAGAAGCAGCTAAACAGCCAGGCGACATTGCAATGCACAGTGGTGGATATTTGTAGCCAGCTGACAAATTAAACCTTCTTCTGGTTGAGCTGGAAACCTGTCATCATTAGGAACGGGCATGAATGCACTATCATGAGTGGAAACTTCCACTGAGGCGTCCACCCAGGAGACAGACTGAATTAAAGGGGGAAAAGGAACATATGCCCAATAGGTAGACTTTTTCAGGTGTCCCAGCTGCTGGCGTACTCACCACTGCACTGACCGCTATAAAGGCAGCCGGAGTTATATTACCCGTCGTTGTTGGAATTCCTTTTTCTTGTAGTAATGTTTGTGTTTGATGTGATAAGACGTTTATTTGACGCCATGTTGGT